CGGGTTTGTGCCCCAGTCCGGGAAGATCCCACATGCCGTGGAGCGGCTGGGCCCATGAGCCATGGCCGCTGGGCCTGTGTGTTCGGAGCCTGTGCTCCGCAACAGGAGAGGCCACAACAGTGAGAGGCCCACGTACCGCAAAAAAAAAAAAAAAAAATGTTTGCCGGATTGAAATAATTTTATACAGAGATAATAAAACTGGAAGTGTTTTCTGATTATTCTTCTCCTGATTATTTTAAGATAATACAAAATATGAAAATATTCTACAAGAAAGCTTGGCAACAGGGATGGCAACAGAGACGTGACTACGTGGTATAACCAGGATAGGTGCTTTTATATGATAATACGTACATTCTGGCATCTCATCTGACAGATGAAAATTAAGAATGGCTGCTAATACAGAGGTAAATTACCACATTCAATAGGGATAAAGAAGGAAGAATGACTTTTTTTCCTATTATGTTGTATATTATATCCCCAGTACTTACTTATCTTATAACTGGAAGTTTGTTACCTTTTGACTGACCTTTTAAATATAGAATTAAATATATTTTTTAAATATGTAGTTGGAACCGAGAATAAAGTGCTTATTCATGAGAAAATTGAGCAGGGATAGGAAAAATTAAGAAAATGGTTAGTTGAAAGAAAAGAAGCATAGTCATCATTAGAATTTGGCTTTACTCCTCTATACATCTTGTTTTGTGATAAAGATATATAAAAATGTTATTTTAAATATCTGCCTTCAATTTACTAAGGCAGACATGGCATATGTTCCTCTTTAGATGGTAATTTCCTTCCCTGCCAATTTATTATTAAGAACCAGCAAAATCAATGTAAATAATGCGACTCCACGTATCATTACAAAGTGAGTAATAAAGTGCTGAGTATTTACCTAGCTAAAGAGAGCTTAAAGTTATAATAATTGGGTCCAAATGAACAACAAAGGAATCCAAGCAAATTCTCTTCTCTAGTGAAGCCAATAAATCACTGGAAGAAAGTCTGAAACTGGGTTCACTGTGGATTAGTCTAGCAAAGGATCCTGCAAAGCAGCTATAATGCTTTGATATTTACTTTTCTTATAGAAAGTTGGAAAAATGAGTCTGAAATAAAAATGATATTCTAAAATCATACTCTCAGTGTTGAGATAAGAGAAAATGGTCTATTAATGAAATAGACTTGGATATTTACTTCAGTAGCAGAGAGAAATTCTTAAAAGAATATTACTATTTTGGGGGGCTTCCCTGGTGTCCGCCTGCCGATGCGGGGGCCGCGGGTTTGTGCCACGGTCTGGGAGGATCCCACATGCCGCAGAGCAGCTGGGCCCGTGAGCCATGGCCTATAAGCCTGCGCGTCCGGAGCCTGTGCTCCGCAACGGGAGAGGCCACAGCAGTGAGAGGCCCGCATAGTGCAAAAAATATATATATATATATATTACTATTTTTTAATTATATATGCCCTAGCCTAGAGCATTTATCTTTTCGGAGTTGCAAAGAGAGAAGCCAGAAGACAGACCAACTATAGCACCATAACTCTGTAAAGATTACTTGTTACTGCTTTAATTGTGGTTAATTACATAATACTACATGTAAGATGCTTTTTGTAAAGTGATCTTCCATGTAGGTACTACTTGCTTTTATGCATGTTCTTAAACCATTTGGTGAAATGAAGATTTCAAGTTGTTATGCTTCTCTACTGTAATTGTCACTCTTATGACAAAATTTTGTGGACAAATAATTAAAGTTGTAAAGGAAGGTGAGAACCTCATACTTGCATAGAAGCTCACTGGAACACTCACTGTTTTTTTAATTCTCATTTTCACAGAAAGATTTGAAAACTAGTTTCCTGGGTTTCAGTGAGGCAAACTCCTGATTTTACAGAGCGACAGACTGAGTGATACAGCCCAAATAAGAGCTGTCAGGGGAATTTGCTATCAAACCAATATGTAAATAAAGAAAAACAACTTTATTACTAGTGTGACCAATGTCATAGAAAACCAAAAAATAAAATGGAACTCAGACAAATTCATTGTTGAATTTTCAATCAACATTTTTACTAACTTCTAGTAATTATGTGGGTGCAGATATAATTTTGCCTTGAAGGCAAACTACCAAAAACTGTTGAGAAAATTTCCAAAGTACCCTAAACAAATAAAGTGTACCTTTTTTTATTTTAGTAACTGTTAGTCAAAGATAATGGAGAGCCTAAAAACAAACTGCTTTCAGAAATTTTTATTCACAACAATTATTATTTCATAATAAATAACACTTGACAGTAAATTGACCCTTTGTCTTCTTAAAGGTTATTAACCAACAGGCAATTCAATATCCTTTACTTCATGTTTTCAAACGTTAAGACAATATTAAGACAAAACAGGCCAAAAACTTCTTATTTTGATGGGAAAAAAGACCTTCAAATTTAATCTTGAGCCACTTAGTTGATTTTTTTCCCTGTGCTGAGCACGTCATAATTTGGATATTAAAATAGCAATTGTTAATATTGAGACTTCTTAATTTTAACCACGTATGAGTTTTAATTTTTCTTAAATTATAACAGACAAACAACATCTTTTCTCCACATCACATTGAGTTAGTGCCTAATTCAGTAATCCCTCTAGTACTGACAAGGCATTTTTGGAATGTGAGTTGAATATCCTTTTTTTAAAATTATTTATGCCACAAGTAATTTGAATTATTTCCTTCCAAAAGACATCTACGTAATTAGTTTGTAATTTGCATTGTTAAATGCAGTCAAGATGGTCCTATAAATTCCTTTCTGGCATTCTCATCATATGACCTAGAATTACAAATCAAAGATGCATCATTATAGCTTAGAAATCAAAATTTTTAGGATGAAATTATTGCTAAATCAAGACATTGACATAAGATACGATGAGCACAGCAGTTCTAAATGTGCATGGCTAACAAGGTATTTCCCCCAAAGAATCCTCTCAAGAATCTGGCCTGAGAACACTAACCCTAAGTTAAAAGTAAAAAGTTTGTTACCACTGGGAGGATTATAGACTTGATCTTAACACATTTCCTGAATAATTAAAGAGAAAGAAAGGATAAAGATAGAATAGGGAGGGATTATTTCAGGAAAATGACAGAAAGAATGCTAATGACAGGCAAGACAGAAAGCCCTACAATCCATAATCCAGTTGAAAAGGAAAGGAGACAGAAATGCCTTACCCCAGCCTATCAAGGTGAAGCCCCACAGGTACTTGGCGTCCGAAAAGAATGCCACAAAGATTAAACTATGCAGATAGAGGCCTTCCACCAAGATCCAATAGTAGTTTGTAGCCAAGAAGTAAATAAACATCACAACTGCAATCTTGCACCCAATCTGTTACAAATAAACCAACATTGCACCATATTAGAATTCCTAATCGTACTGGTTCCAACATTAGACCACTAAAAAGCAGTTCCTCCATTTATTTTTTATAATCTAATATCTCTTGTACCTGGGAAGGCCAAGACTTTTGAAAGAGACCAGAACAAAGTTATTTTAACATAGCATTTCTAAGACTGCTGGCTTGATTCTATTTTTAAAATAAGATTTTTATTCCTTTAGAAGTTACAAGAAATCACTTTTCCTTAAGTTTTCTTGTTTATAAAAATACTTGATCATCAGAGAAAATTAGGAAAGTAAAGAAAAGCAAAAAGAGGAAAACTTAACCATCATTCTACCATGAATTTATTTTATTCTGGTCTTTTTTATGCCCCAAAAGTTAATGGCTTCAAATGATAAACATTTAATATGTCTTATGAATCGATTGATTGGCTAGATGATTCTGCTGATTTGGGCAAAGCTCAGCTAATCTTGGCTAGGCTCACTCATAGAGGTCTACCCTCAACTGACACACCATCACACCTACTTCATTCTAGTTCATTTAAAAAGTCACAAAGCCGGGCTTCCCTGGTGGCACAGTGGTTGAGAGTCCGCCTGCCGATGCAGGGGACGCGGGTTCGTGCCCCGGGCCAGGAGGATCCCCCATGCCGCACAGCGGCTGGGCCCATGAGCCATGGCCACTGAGCCTGCGCGTCCATGAGCCTGTGCTCCGCAGTGGGAGAGGCCACAACAGTGAGAGGCCCACATACCGCAAAAATAAATAAATAAATAAAAATAAAAATAAATAGAAGGTCACAAAGCCAATCCAGAATTAGAATCAGCAGAGACAACAACGAACTACAGGGCAAAGGGCAAAGATACCGACAGCATTAATTCACACCATCAATACAATCAATCAATTTTACCTAATTTCCAGATATATCGCTTCAATGGTGATAATGCTTCTCATTAACTGAATTATTGGGTGATTAAATCCCAAGCTCCTGGTCTTGCAGGTGGGCTCTTTACTTTTGAAAGTGGTGAGCCATGCAAGGGCTCATGGTGAAAACACTTACATATTGTGATTTGTCCACAGGAGGCACTTCTACGGAACTCTGTAGGTCATCTTGCATTATCAGGGACTGCAGCTCCTTTACTCCTATGTGAGCATGGACCACTCTGTCCTTGACAAAGATGCTCGCAGCTCTCAGCATGAAAGACACAAATAAGTGCATGTGGATATAGTTCCTAGTACAATGCAATCGTCTATGGAGAGAAAATATTCAGTATTTAGATTTGAATAAAATTAGAAATGGAGAAAGAAAATACATAAATGAGCTCAAACTCCTCCCAAAAAAGAAGAAATATAATAAACCTGAACAAAGACAGAAACAATTGGGGTCAAAAACTAAAATGTAGCTTTTTGAGAATTAATTTCAAATTTATCCTGATCAGCTACCATGGTTATCCAGATAATGCAGTGTTAAATATTATGCTACATTATACTATAGCATTACATTTTACTATATATTAAGGTAATAAATAATTGATGGAGAACCACCTTGAACAGGGATAAGCCTTATTAAAACTGGAATGTTCACATTTTCAATATATTCTCTATAAGAAAAAGTAAGATATTTTGATAGAATTACACAGTTTTATTTCCTAGGAATGTTAGAGAGAAAATAAGCTTCCTTTAATATAAAAAGTTTTGGAATTATAAAAAGATCTTAGACACAAGTTAAGTCAGTAACATAGTAGATATAGCAGCATCAACTAGTACATAAAGGTAACTCCAAAAAAAAAAAAAAGATTTCTTTTAAGTTTGATTAAAACAAAAACAAAAACACCAGGAAAACGAATGTATAATCTGGTCAAAAGGCCCAGCTCTACCATTGCTTGACTATGAAAAAAGCTGAGCTTTCATGTCCAATGAACACACTGATACTACATCTCTTCCTGAAAAGACAAAGTACTCAAGTATAAAGAAGTAAGAAATGTTTTAATCCAGAAGAAAAAGAAGAAATGTTTTAATCCAGTAATATATTTTTATATTTCATAATATAGAAAGAATCTACTGTTAAATACTCTGATAAACTATTATGTAAACTGAGGAATTATTACTTAGTCATTTGTATCCTCCTGAAATTTCATGTAACTTTTATTCTCATAAATATCTATCTATTATTCTGAACAACCACAGCTAAGTTTAATGTAATGGAGTGAACTCTGGATCCGAATCAGAAGATGATGGTTCTGTTTCCAGCTGGACCACCTATGACCTTGTGACTTTGAACACTGAGCTTCAGTTTCTTGTCTCTCAAATGAGATCATCCCTGCCAAGCCAACTTCACGAGGTTATTTTGAGGAACCCCTCTACAACCCCACAAATGTGATCATGTTACCCTTCTACTTAAAAACTTCACTGGCTCCCTGTATACTACCTTATAAGACAAAATTCAAAGCCCTTGACAAGAGCCTGTAAAACCTAATGCTACAAAATCTAGTTTCTCCCTGGCCATCCCCATATGGCTACTCCTCCCTATGCATCAAATGCTGCATTCATATGGGACCCTTCTATATTCCCTGTGTATACTCTGCTCCTTTGTGCCTCTGACCTGTGTACGTTCTGTTCCCATCATTTGGAATGTGCCAAATTCCTTCTTATCATTCAGTATCAGCTCACACACCAGTTGTTCTGGGAAATCTCTCTCCCTTATCTTGTTAGTTTTAGACTAGTTCCTTAGTATTCCCAAGGCCCTTTATGAAACCTGCATTACAGTACTAATAATCTTTTAATTGATAATCATCTAATGTGTCAGTTTCTCTCAATGGTGTTATACTACTTTTCTGGTCTTCAACATATCTTAACTTGGCCTCCATCAATACCAAAAAGGGACTACCACATGATAGAGAAAAACGCTTGTTGAACCAATGGACTAGTAAATCAATAAAGCAAAAGCTTTGGAAATATAAACTACACCACTACACCACTACTATATGAGAAACTGTTGGAAGTGGTTGGAATATTACAACTAGTCATTATTTATTAATTCAACAAACATTTACTGAGCACCAGGACATATCAAGTACCACTGAGAGTGCAGCAATGAGCAAACAGAAAAAAATAAATGCCTACTCTTGTGTGGCTTTACATTCTAGAGGGAGAGACAAAAAGTAAAAAGATAAATAAGTAAAACATCAGATAATACATTAGACAGCTATAAATCAGAGGAGAAAAGTAAACTAGGAAATAGGTATGAGAAGTTTCAAGGAAGAGAGGATTGTAAGATAATAGGAAACAAAATATAAAATTTTTCTTTTAGTTTCTGTTAATTTCTAAATCCTCTATTTCCATTTTCTATTGTATCATCTAACCTCACTCCTTCTTTTCCTGCATATAATTTAGCACTAAATTTTTTCAGTTGTACAATCTTAATTTGTCTCAGAACTGTCCATTTCTATCCAATCCCCAAGGCCACTGCCCTAGGCCAGGCAAAAGTCTTCTTGTCCTGATGACTCTACTAGCATCTTCCAAATGGGCTTCCTACCACCAGTTCACACTCCACCTTACAATGCACGTTCCATGTCACTCCTCTGCTTAAAATCCTTCATGGCTCCTCTCTGGCTCTTAGGGTGAAGTTCAGATTCCATATACAGGTCTCAATACCTTCCCAGCCCTGCTTACCTCTCTAGCCTCAGTGTCCATCACCTGCCTACAGCAAAATTCTCAATTCTCAGATATTCCATGCTTTTTCTTGATCTAAACTTAGGTTTGGAACTCTCTCCTCAGTCTCCTCTTTTGGTTAAATTTTGTGTATACTCATGTGTCATTTGGGAAGTCTTCTCTCTTGTCCCTCCTCTGTCCTCCCAAATCACTATAAGCCACCTGAATCACAGCACTTCTCAAACTGTAAACTCATTGTTTTCTCAGCTATTTGTGTCACAAACCAGCTGCAAGCATCAGCCTACACACATAGTTCACTGTTTTATCTCCATATTGGCTTTCAAAATTCTGTGTTGATTTAGATTAAGCTGAATTGAATTAGACAAAAGTTTAAGTGGATAAAAATTAAACCACAGCAAAAGCAATAAATACTATTTATTTATATATGATATCAAATCAATTAGAGATTATTTCAAATGAATTTCTGTCCTATGGCACCAAAATCACTTGGGAAAATTGAAATAAGTCTTTACATCATGAGCGAAAATTTTCGTAACTCACTTGACAATAGTCTGCGTCACTTTGCAAAAATATACTACAATGCAGATCTATTGGCTTAATGGTTTCATACTGCTTTAATGCTTTAAGTTTTTAAACAAACAAACAACAAAGAAGAACCCTGAATTTTTCATCAAAAATAAATTGTCAAAAGTCAAATAATTTTACACTACAAAGTCAAATAATTTTACACTAGGCTGAATTCAGAAACTTGTGTTTGGGAAAAGTATTTGGAGGTACAGATTATGAGAGGTCTGTGTCTTTGATGAATAAGAAACAGAACTGCCCCTTCATGGAGAAAGTGACTAGGAATCACTCACCTGAAGTAACCAATGATGAGAATAGCCACAGCCAGAGAGCCAAAGGAGACAGAGTAACCAATAGTGTACATGACATAGAGGCGTTCAAAGAATTCTTGCTGGAGGGCAACAGATTTAATCAGAAAAGCAGGTTTGAACAAATAATTTGACGTAGATAAACTTAAAAATCGTGCTTTTAACCTCTTTAAAGATAGGCAACGTGTGACCACATTCATATAATATACAGGTTATTTTTCTGGCCTTCCTTTTACTCCCTAAATTCAAGTCAGGGTTAAAGATATAATTAAAATATTTGGCATTTCTTCTTGCTTAAGTGAGGCCAAATTCAATGTTACAAAATTTACTTCATGTATTTTTACAGTGTTCATTTTAACTAATTGGAACTGTATATCTAATGTGATATTTGGAGTAAATAAAACACATGTTACAGACTATTTTAAAACTGGTAAAAGAAAATATGTCACTTTTGGAATATTAGTTCTAGTTTTCTTTAGCTTTTTTATTGAGCTGTAGTTTACATGAAACAAAATTGTGCAGATTTAAAATGAGCAGTTTGATGGGTTTTGACAAACCAAGTTCGTTGTGCCACTTGCTAGTCAAAAATCCACCCACCATCCACCCCCAGGTAACTACTGTTCCAATTTCTGTCACCACTAATTGGCTTTATCTGTTCATGTACTTCATATATTTCTCAACTGTTCTTATATTTCTTGGAATTATATAGTATATACTCTTTTTGTCAATATACTGTTTTGATATTCACTGATATTGTTGCATGAATCAATGGTTCATTCCTTTTTGTTGTATTTTAAAATAACTCTAGATTCAAAAGAAGTGGAAAAGATAGTAAAAAGGGTCCTATGTACCCTTCACGTAGTATCCTCCAATGCTTACATCTTACATAAGTTCACTAAAATATCAAGCCAGGAATTTGGCATTGGTGCAGTTCACGTGTTTACAGTTTTGTGTCATTTTATTACATATGAAAATTTTTGTAACCTTCTCTACAATCAAGATACAGAACTATTCCATCACCACAATGATGTTCCTTGTGCTGTTTCCCTTACAGTCATACCTACCCTGCTCCTCTCCACCATCCTTATCACCTGCCAAACATTAATCTGTTTTCTATCTCGATAATTTTGTCATTTCATAAATGTTATAGAAATGAAATCATACAGAACATGATCTTTGAGATTGGTTTTTTTCACTCAGAGTAATAACCTCAAGATCCATTCAAGTTGCTACACATACCAAGTTTGTTCTTTTTTATTGCTGCGTAGTACTGCATGGTATGCATGTAACCTACATATACCACATTTGAAATGAGTTTCAAACTTTGTAGATAACATACAAAGTTGGGTCATGTTTTTTTTTTTTTTTTTTTTTTTTTTTTTTTTTTTTGGGCCCAGCCGCTCCGCGGCATGTGGGATCTTCCCGGACCGGTGCACGAACCCGTGTCCCCTGCATCGGCAGGCGGACTCTCAACCACTGCGCCACCAGGGAAGCCCCTGGGTCATGTTTTTTATAGACTCTTTCAATCTCTGTTAATTGGTATATTAAGACCATTTGCTTTTAATATAATATTGATATGTTAAGGCTAAGTCCATCATGTTATACTTTTATTTTCTGTTATGTTTTTCATTTCTGTGTTTTGCTTTTCCTGCCATCCCTGGTTACTTGAACATTTTGTAGAATTCCATTTTGATTTATATTTTTGTATAGTGCTTTCGGTGGTGGCTCTCGGTATTACATTATATAGCTTAATGTGGAAGATTTGATCATTGAATTTTCACCTTTCTTCTATTCTAATTAAACATTGAAAAGTATAAATCTTTCTCTACACTCTGCTTTCGCTGTTTCCCACAATTTTTTATATATATTGAGCTTTCATATTTATTCAGTTCAAACTTTTGCCATTGGTCACATAATTTCCAACTATTTATGAATTGTATACATATTTTAATTTATTTTCAATTAATTCTTTTGTGGTCAGAGAACATACTCCATAAGATTTTAATCTTGAGATTATTGAAACTTGTTTTATAGCCCAGCATATGTTCTATCTTGATAAAACTTTGGTGAGTACTTTAAAAGAATGTAAATTTTGCAGTTATTGTGAATACTATTCTATAAATGTCAATTTATTCAAATTGTTTGAAATATATTCTATAGAAGGTTTTATCCAATTGTTCTATCAATTACTAAGAAAATGGCATTCTTTAAAATGTCAACATGCTGGAATTTGGTTATTTCTCCCTTTAGCTCTGACAAATTTTGCTTCATGTAATTTGAAGCTCCTAAATGCATGTATATTTAGGATTATTTCCTCTTGGTAAATTGATTCTTTATAATTTGAAATGTCCCTCCATCTTGGTAATTACATTTATCTGTATCTTTATAATTAGAGTACATTTCTCAAAGACAGCAAACTACTGATTCATACTTTTATTATCCATTCTGACAAACTCTGCCTTTTAAGCGAAATGTTTAGTTCACTTACCTTGAATACAATCATTGCTATGGCTGTGTTTAAATCTAACATATAGGTATTTGCATTCTAAATGTCCTATCTTTTCTTTGTTCCTCTGTACCTACTTCCTTACCTTTTATTGGGGGGTAGGGGATGGGGAAATCGATCAAGTATTTCTTAGTATTTCACATGTGGGTTTGTCTTGTTTTGTTTTGGGGTGGGAGGCAGCTTAAGGGATCTTAGTTCCCTGACCAGGGGTTGAACCCTGGCCCTTGGCAGTGAAAGCTTGGAGTCCTAACCACTGGAATGCTGGGGAATTCCCAAAACTTGTGTTATTTTTTAGCAGTTACTATAGAGACTTGGTTATGCATCTGAACTTATTAGAGCCTACATTTAAGTAATATTGAACTATTTCACCATATAAATAGAACTTCACAATCATGTACTCAATTTTGCTCCCCTAGCCTTTGTCCCTTTTAGATTTTGTTCTGCATAATTTATAAACCTCAATAAGAGGCTATTATGTTTGCTTTAAGCAGTCAACAGATTTTAAATGAATTAAATTATAGATATAAAGAGATATAAATATAGCAATAGGATAGGTATATAGCTTTATTATTTTACTCTGCCATTTTTATCCACATATACACCTATTCTGGTACTCCTCATGCCTTTCTGACAATCTATTCCTCCATCTGGTATATTTCTCTCCTGCCTAGAGAATTTTTTTGTTTCTTATAGTGAAAAGTCTGATGAAGCTGACCTGTCTCGGATATTTTCTGTCTGAAAAATATCATTATTTTGCCTCTGTCTTAATGAATATCATCACTTTAAAGATATCATTCCGTTGTATTCTGGCCTCCACTGTTTATTACTAAAACACAGCATCTTTTTAGTTGTTGCTCCCCTGAATATAATGTGCCCTTTTTCTTTCACTGCTTTTAAGATTTTCTTTTTACTTTGATTCACAGCAGTTTAACTATGATGTGTCTAAGTATGGTTTTCTTTTTATTTACCCTGCGTAGGGTTTGCTGAATCTCTGGAACCTGTGGATTGATTTATTTCATCCATTTTAGAAAATTATGGGCTATTGCCTTCTCAGATATTTATTTTGTCCTATTCTTTCCCTCTCTCTTTACTTCTAATTTCACATATGTTTAGACAATTACATATTATCTCACAGTCTCAGATGGTTCTGTTTTTTAAACTTATTTTTTCTCGTAATGCTTCAGTTGGATAATTTCTACTGACCTCTCTTTAGGTTCACTGATCTTTATCATGCTGTGTCCAGTTTGCTGTTGAGCATATCAAATAACTTCTTCATTTTTTAATTGAATATTTCAATTCTACACTTTCCTTTTTCTTTAAGTTTTCATTTCTCTGCTGATTTTCCCATCTGTTTTATGCACCTTTTTCACTAAATCATCTAACATATTTATAGTTATTATCAAGTACTCATCTGCAAATTGCAACACCTGGATCATCTGTTTCTTCCCGCTTTTGTTTTTACTCTAGATTTTGGGTCCTTACCTTGTAATTTTTTATTACACTACAGGCATTGTAGGTAAAAGAAGAGTAAGGACTGGAGTATGCAATATTAACAGCCTGAAAAGGGCAGTCCTCGTCCTCTACCAGGCTTCTTGAGTTGGGAGGATGGACTACCTTGTTTTTAAACTGGGATTGGGTTTGTTGTAGTGCTTTGGTTTTGTTTTTGTTCTTATGATTCCTTTTACCCTGATTTTAGGTTTTGAGAGCAGATTCGAGACTTTTCCTTCAGAAGGCCGTGGGATCTGAGCACCAGCAGCCTCCAGTGGCCAGTATATGGGTTTTAGTCCATCTGACAGTTTTCCAAGCCACAGAAGGACTCTTTCTGCTTTTTGAACCATCCATCAGCTTTGGAGCTGTTGGAAATTTCACTTTGCTCTCCAGCTCTGCCCTGGGCTTTCTGCATCTCAGAAGATGTCACTCCATTACGCTGCTCTGCTCCAGTTCTCAGCTAGCCACTGCCTTGCTTTGGATGAAGACCTCCTGTGCCTAGGAAAGATCTTTCTCAGCTCTATTTTGTCAGGCTGCTGCCTTTCACTTAGTGAGATTTGTCATCTTGGGGGTTTGTCTCAGCTTTCCTGCCCTCCCCTGGTCTATGAGCTGCAGTAGTCATGCACTTAGAGAGAGCCACAGATACCCCAAGACATGTCTCTTAGCTCCTCTGTTCCATCCCATGCCTTCAGCTAACAGCTACCTCTCATTCTGTGAGGGTCCTACGCACATGTTGGGAAATTTCTCATGGCCCACCTGCTACACCCCAGCCTTTGGTACACTGGCTCTAGACACTCAGTGAAGGCTTATGGGAAAGAATTGGCTGATGGGTAATAGCTCACTGTGACTAGGGTTCATTCCTTGGAATTCTAAGCCCTTATTCCAGTCCTTGTCTGATAAAAGTTGTTTTAAAAGTCTGGTTCTTTTCTTTTTATCCCCTTCCATAGCCTGGTTGCTCCTCTTCTGGTGCAGAGCCAGGGATAAATGCAGCCATAGGTCTTTTCTCTCATAAGAAGGGCTTTCCCACTTCTGCAATTAGGTTCATTTAGATTTCTTGGCATCCTCAGCTTACTGATAGGTTTTTACAAATTATTAATTTTGCATCTTACTCAACTTATTCTTATTGTTGCAACTTCCCACATCCTGACTTTGTCTCTTGTTCCTGTTTTAAAACATTTATTACATATTATTTTCTCTTAATAAAATGTTAAACTTTTTATAGAAAAATACCTGGATAATGTGTAAAATACAAAAAAGAGAAGGAAAAAAATTTCCTAATTCCCACCAAGCAAAAAGAAACACTGTATTTCATGTATTTCTTTTCACTCTATTTCTATGTATCATTTCCTACTGTTTTGAATATTTGCATTCCCAATTTATATACAAGTTTATCATCTGACTTTTTTTTCCGGTTAACTGTATAACAAAGGAATTTCCCAAGACCACAAACTCTTTACACAAAATATATATTTGAGCTTATTTAACCATTTCTTCATTGGAAATTTAAATTCTTCAGAATATTCACTATAATAATTAATGGTTCAATGAATATTATTCCATTCAGTTCCCCCCACTTCAAATCTTTATGCTTGAATCTTAGAAGTATAATTATAAGATCAAAGGATATGACCCCCTTGAAATTTCTTAATATATATTGTTAAATTACTGTCCAAAAGTCCATATAACCTTTAGACATGAGATATATGGTAATTTCTACAGTATGCAACTGTTTAAAATATCATACTCTAAAGAATTTAACAACCTCATGGCCCATCATAAGAGTTTCCTTGCTTTTTTTTTTTTTTTTTTTGCGGTACGCGGGCCTCTCACTGTTGTGGCCTCTCCCGTTGCGGGGCACAGGCTCTGGACGCGCAGGCTCAGTGGCCATGGCTCACGGGCCCAGCCGCTCCACGGCATGTGGGATCTTTCTGGACCAGGTCACGAACCCGTGTCCCCTGCATCGGCAGGCGGACTCTCAACCACTGCGCTACTGGGGAAGCCCTTCCTTGCTTTTTTTATTAAAAGTAATTAGCTCATTTTGTTAAGTCAATGATATGGAAATTATTTAAAGAACAAAACAATAGATGTTTTAAATATCTTTACCTTATGTCCCCTATAAAGACGTGGCATTTATTCTAAATGCACTTTTTCACTTTTACCTTTTTTTATACAAAAACTCTGATTATAACCATTAATAATTAATATCTCATAAGTAATATCATTTTGCCCTACACTATTGATATAGTGATATATACTTTAGAAGGTATCCAGTTTTCTTATTAAAAGATATTTACATTTCTTAAGTTTTCTCAAATTATTGCTTAAGGGTTGTAAACAATAGAAAACACTTTATATATATATATATATATATATATATTTTTTTTTTTTTTTTTTTTTTTTTTTGTGCGGTACGGGGGCCTCTCACTGTTGTGGCCTCTCCCGCTGCGGAGCACAGGCTCCGGACGCACAGGCTCAGTGGCCATAGCTCACGGGCCCAGCCGCTCCGCGGCATGTGGGGCCCTCCGGGACCGGGTCACGAACCCGTGTCCCCTGCATCGGCAGGCGGACTCTCAACCACTGTGCCACCAGGGAAGCCCCCACTCTTTATATTTCTGATTAAGGAGATAAAATTACACTAACAAAATTAATCAAATTTTTCAGTTAACTTTTAAACCATGTTTATATAAAATAGTATATATTTTGGGGATTTCACCATCCTTAGCTATTTTGATTATTGAAATACATAGTAATTAAAAAGAATGGTTGCAATATTCTGAATAGAGTTCAGTGTAAATAAAATCATGATATAATTTAATGGCCATTTAAAAGCTGTGAAGACTTGCCCTTATCATCATTTAATGCACAAATTCATAGCAGAGTATACTAAATATTGTGAATGTTTATTTATATCAGTGAAATTGAAATTATTTTGAAGTATTTTATATTAACTCATTGCTGGCTTTGGTTCCATTGTAGAGTACATAATTATCTCCTCACATTGACTAATTTTATCTAAGAAGCATGTCAACAATGAAATACAAAACTGAGGTCTTTTGGCAATTTACTAAAGAGTCATTAAGGTGGTAGTGCTTTGTGCTAGAAAAAAAAGTTAAGAAAAGAAGTTCTGACTATTAATGCAGAATCAAACAGGGACTTCCCTGGCAGTCCAGTGGGTAAGACTCCGCACTTCCAATGCAGGGGGCGTGGGTTTGATCCCTGGTCAGGGAATTAAGATCTGACATGCCGCTCAGCATGGCCAAAAATATAAATCAAACGAAGAAAACTCCAACTTACCACTTCTGCCACTGCTCTCCCTCCCTCCCCACCAAAAAATAAATATCATCAAGCATAAAGAAAAATGTCTAATGTTAGGAGAGTTATGTATTATGACTGTTCTCAGGATCCTCATAAAATCATTTATACATCAACTTACCATGTTCATTCCTAGCATCATATGCTTATAGCATCATGCATTTTACTGACGAGGTCTGCGTGATAGGAATTTAGGCATAACTTTTAATCCACCAAATATAACCTAAAAGTAACTATCTAGAAGTTTTTGAAATTTACATATGATTACCATACCGGAAACAGCACTGACCCTGCCATGATCCAGCTGTGTCACTTTGACCAACACTTAACCTTTGGTTCTGAATTGACTCACACGTATAAAATTAAGGTATTGTGTGAGAAGACCTATAAGACACCCCTTGCTCCTCTTTAATTCTGAAACTCTAATCTTTCATATACTAATGAAATCACCTGCTGGCAAATCTTATGATATGGAAAATACATCTCTAAAATACAAAGCTCCTCCAGGAATACAGAGTGAGATGAGATGTAGCCATTCATAGGTAACCAAGAAAAAAGTCATGCATCATGTTGCTGACTACCAATTTGAATTTTTATACATAAATAATGTAGCATCATATAGTGTAACGTAAACATAATATAATACAACATACACATATTTATAAGTATATATGCATATATCTCAGCCAGGTCACTCTAACCTAAAGAAAATATCAAAATGTTTCAGGTCCTAAAATAGATAATGAATGAGAACCTACTGTATAGCTCAGGGAACTCTACTCAATGCTCTGTGGTGACCTAAATGGGAAGGAAATCCAAATAAGAGGGGATATATGTATACGTAGAGCTGATTCACTTTGCTGTACAGTAGAAACTAACACATTGTAAAGCAACGATAATCCAATAAAAATTAATTTTTAAAAACTAAAATAAAATACTAACTTCTGAAAACAGGAAAAAAAAATGTTTCAGATCCTAGACCTTTCCTTAACTAGGTATCTGAAAAGATTCCAAACTTGCTTCTATCTTTTTTGATCTTTGTGTCATATAATATAAGGATTTTTATAACAGTGGTTGACAATCAAGAATTGTATAAAAACTTTTGCTTTCCCTTAGGGGTTCACAAATACAAAGATACCATTACCTTTCCTATGCTGATATCTGGCTGCAGAAAGTGAAGGCAGTCTGAATAATTAGCCCATGTTTTATTTAAACTGTGCATAAAATCCCATGTTCCATTGGGGTTACAGTGTCGGAAAGCAACTCCTGTGAAGACATGAAGAAAAACACTGAGATTGCTCAGTTCTTGTATAGTTCATTACAAAAATAATAATAAATTTCTATTCCAAATTAATCATTTCAGAAAAATTCAATACCTTTATGATTGAAGTCATAAATATAAGGAGGGCATGGGACAGCCAACATTTTCCCCACTGTTCCTCTAGGCCAACAGATGAGTCCATCCCATTCTGGGAAACAATTTCCCTCTGATAAGGAAAATAATTAAAAAGCAAATAAACAAAGATGCAGTTAGAAGCAGAGAATGAATGCATTCAAAATACAAAATTTCAGGTCACTGCCTATGTAAAACACAGGCACTGTAAAACAAATCGGTAGTTTTGGAAACTAGAATGGGGTAGATATGATGCAAATACCCCAAAACTCATCCACCTAGCCTCATCAAAGGCCCATTGATAGGAACATTTGATTTGCATAAATTAAACATATTTTAGTGATTCCAATATATATGAGTTATAGCAATTAATATATAAGAAAGACACAGACCTACTAGAGAATGGACTTGAGGATATGGGGAGGGGGAAGGGTAAGCTGTGACAAAGTGAGAGAGTGGCATGGACATATATACACTACCAAACGTAAAATAGATAGCTAGTGGGAAGCAGCCGCATAGCACAGGGAGATCAGCTCGGTGGTTTGTGACCACCTAGAGGGGTGGGATAGGGAGGGTGGGAGGGAGACACAAGAGGGAAGAGATATGGGAACATATGTATATGTATAGCTGATTCACTTTGTTATAAAGCAGAAACTAACACATCATTGTAAAGCAATCATACTGCAATAAAGATGTTTAAAAAAAAGAAACAGAATTCATTGAGAACAATTTCTTTTTTATTAATTTTTATTGGAGTATAGTTGCTTTACAATGTTGTGTTAGTTTCTGCTGTACAGCAAAGTGAATCAGCTACACATATACGTATATCCCCTTTTTTTAGACTTCCTTCCCATTTAGGTCACCACAGAGCACTGAGTAGAGTTCCCTGTGCTGTACAGTAGGTTCTCATTACTTATCTATCGGATAATATCGCTTATATGTGGAATCTAGAAAAAGGGTACAAATGAACTTATTTGCAAAGCAGAAATAGAGACACAGATGTAGAGAACAAACGTATGGATACTAAGGGGGAAGGGGGCGGGATGGGATGAATCGGGAGATAAGAACAATTTCTGTTAGTAAAAGTCTATCATAGTTGTAGCTACATATTTTACCCTAGATTTTTTTTTAATTACTGTTAAAACATATGACACATGAAATAGATTGAGCTTCACAGGTAAGCTCCAAGATTTCGGTTTGCTCTTTTACCAATTACTAGTAATTTCTTTGAGTCTAACACTCATCTTAAACAAAATTCTCAGAAACTCTACTCTCCTTGAGATGAATCCAGAACCCTATTACTTCTCACAATATCCACTGCCAAACCCCTGGTCCAAGCCACCACATCTCCAGACTAAATTATTGCAATGGCCCCCAATGGGTCTTCTTGATTCCATTCTTGCTCTCCTCTCATTTATTCTTCATGCAATAGCCCCAAATCCTCCAAAGGCTTCCCATCTCACTCTGAGCAGAAGCTGAGTCTTTCCAAGGCCTAATGGCCCCTCAGGATCTTCTCTCTCCCCTGGCTTATTCCCCACTCACCCACCCCAACCCATACTCCTTATCCCCTTTCCTACTATAGTTTTTCACCTGAAAACTATATAGTTTCACCTTCCACTATTAAGTGTTATTTTATTATCATTTTCTTAAACCATAGGATTTAAGGAGCTTGAGGGTGAGGAATTTTGTCTGTTTTTTTAAATTAATTTTTATTGGAATATAGTTGCTTTACAATGCTGTGACAGCTTCTACTGTACAGCAAAGTGAATCAGCTATACATATACATACATCCCCTCTTGTTTGGATTTCATTCCCATTTAGGTCACCACAGAGCACTGAGTAGAGCTCCTTGTGCTATATTGTAGGTTCTTATTAGTTACCTATTTTATACATAGTATCAATAGTGTATATATGTCAATCCCAATCTCCCAATTCATCCCACCCCTGCTTCCCCCCTTGGTATCCATATGTTTGTTCTCTACGTCTGTGTCTCCATTTCTGCTTTGCAAATAAGATCATCTATATCATTTTTCTAGATTCCACATATATGCATTAATATGATATTTGTTTTTCTCTTTCTGGCTTACTTCACTCTGTATGACAGTCTCTAGGTCCATCCACATCTCTACAAATGGCCCAATTTCATTCCTTTTTATGGCTGAGTAATATCCTATTGTATATAATGTACCACATCTTCTCTATCCATTCCTTTGTTGATGGACATTTAGGTTGCTTCCTTGCCCTGGCTATTGTAAACAGTGCTGCAATGAACATTGTGGTACATGACTCTTTTTCAATTATGGTTTTCTCTCAGTATATGCCCAGGAAGGGGATTGCTGGGCCATATGGTAATTCTATTTTCAGTTTTTTAAGGAACCTCCATACTGTTCTCCATAGTGGCTGCATCAATTTACATTCCAACCAACAGTGCAAGAGGGTTCCCTTTTCTCCACACTCTCTCCAGCATTTGTTGTTTGTAGATTTTCTGATGATGCCCATTCTAACTGGTGTGAGGTGATACCTCATTGTTGTTTTGATTTGCATTTCTCTAATGATTAGTGATGTTGAGCATCTTTTCATGTGCCTCTTGGCCATCTGTATGTCTTCTTTGGAGAAATGTCTATTTAGGTCTTCCACCCATTTTTTTATTGGGTTGCTTGTTTTTTTGGTATTGAGCTGCATGAACTATTTGTATATTTTGGAGATTAATCCTTTGTCAGTTGGTTCCTTTGCAAATATTTTCTCCTGTTTTGTTTCATGCGTTTACCACTGTGTGTTTTTCAGGACTCCCTTCCATTAGTTGTGTATGAAACTTTCAAGAAGAGAGCCTATCAGCCATGTCATATTCCAACTTACCCAAAAGAGACTATTTTTAATGAGTGCTGTATTCATTTTCCATTGCTTCCATAACAAATTAGCACAAACTTAGCAGCTTCAAATACCCCAAATTTATTATCTCACTATTTCTGTAGGTCAGAAGTCCGGTGAGTTCAGCCAGACCTCTGCTTATAGATTCACAAGGCTGAATCAAGGGCTGGGCAGCACTGTGATGCTTTCTGATGCTCTGAGGGAAAATCCATTTCCTTACTCATTCCAGTTGTTGGTAGAATTTACTTCCTTGTAGTGATAAGACTGAGGTTCCCATCTCCTTCCTGGCTGTCAGCTGAGGGCTATTCCCAACTTCTGAAAGCCACTTGCATTCCGTGGCTCATGGCCCCCTTCCTCCATCTTCAAAGTCAGCAAGGGAGGTCAAGTCCTTCTCACATTTCAAGTCTTTCTTCCATTCTTTTTTTCCATTACTGACTATTCCGCCTTCCTCTTTCACTTTTAAGAACCCAGGTGATTACATTAGTCCCGTCCAAATAATCCAGAATAATCTTCCTATTTTAAGGTCCACAACCTTAATTCCATCTGCAATGCCCTTTTGCCCTGTAATATAACATACACAGGCAGAACACCAGATATTAGGGTTTGGACATCTTTGAGGGGACATTATTCTGCTACCACAAGTACCATTACAGCTCTCTCAATTTTTTTAGTTACCAATTACACTAACTGTAGCTGAGCATTTTTGTTATAGCTAACATTCGTTATGTCGAGTTGTTCAGTTTTGAATAGTCAGCATGATAGAACCTCATGCAAACACCGATTTCTACAGAAAAGAACTCAGCATAAACCTGAAATTAACTTGTTAGTGTCCACCATATCACATGGAAACAAGTACTTGATTTGTTTTGTGAATTGCTGAAGTAATAAGAAAAAGAAAATATCTTTCCTCACCACATTGTTCTCGTAGAAGAGAATGTTTCTTGGAAACAGCCTCACTTTGCTCTCATAATAAAAGCCTGGGCTTTACATATTGCAAGTAACCCGGGAACTCATTATGCTGGCTCCTGTTTCTGGCTTCACCTACTTTCCACCATGACCTGCTTTTTTGTGTGTTTATCTTCCTTCTTGTTTAAACAGAGTATAATGAATCAATCTCTTCCATAAACTTTGCACTAGATACTCTTCTACGTCTTGATAGCATTCCATATGGTTTCCCATCCATTCACTTTATCTTTAATAAGTCATGCATCCTTATTTATCTGGATCCGATCCTTTACCAGATACAGTATCTATGGTGCAATCTACATAAAATGGACCCAGATACATATTCCTGTGTTCTTGTAACTAGTTGTCCCTCTAAAATGTATGCTGCAACGTCATGTGAGATTTTCTGGCAAGAGTTGATCATGTGATGGACTAAGGTCTTCACAGAAGTCTAAAAGTTAATGATCAGTTTATTCTATAATTATGTAGTTTTTAAACTGGAATAAAGAACACTGCTGATATTTTCCTTATGCTTTAAAAGGAATCGTTTTTTTGTTCCCTAAAAGATACCAGTCCAAATATACATACAGTTAAATATCTAAAAAAACAACCCAATCAAAAAATGGGCATAAGACTTAGATAGACATTTCTCCAAAGAAGATATACAGATGGCCAACAGGCACAGGAAAAGATGCTCAATATCGCTAATTATTGGAGAAATGCAAATCAAAACCACAATTAGGTATCACCTTACACCTATCAGAATGGCTATCAAAAAGTCTACAAATAATAAATGCTGGAGAGGGTGTGGAGAAAAGGGAACGTCCTACACTGTTGGTGGGAATGTAAATTGGTGCAGCCACTATGGAGAACAGAATGGAGGTTCCTTAAAAAACTAAAAATAGAACTACCATATGATCCAGCAATCCCACTCCTGGATGCATGCACCCCAATGTTCATTGCAGCACTATTTACAATAGCCAAGACATGGAAGCAACCTAAATGTCCATCGACAGAGGAATGGATAAAGAAGATGTGGTATATATATACAATGTAATATTACTCAGCCATAAAAAAGAATAAAATAATGCCATTTGCAGCAACATGGATGGACCTAGAGATTATCATACTAAGTGAAGTAAGTCTGACAGAGAAAGACAAGTATCATATGATATCCCTTATATGTGGAATCTAAAAAGATGATACAAATGAACTTACTTACAAAACAGAAATAGACCCACAGACATAGAAAACAAGTTTATTGGTTACCAAAGGGGCTTA